ATTCCGCATAGACCTTACGACATCCTGCGCAAGCGTATTAATCTTTGCTGCTGCGTCGCTTCTTGATAGTGGAATAGGTTCCATCACTCCATTTTCGTGAGCATTCTTAGCTGCATTGTCGGCATGCTCGTTACCGATGATGCCGCAATGGCCTGGTAACCACTGAAAAGATATGTCATGTCCTTCGTCTATTAGGTGATGGTACAGTTGTCGTATTTCGAGCGCCAATTGATCTTGAGGTCCACGACGTAGAGTATTGTGTAGACATTGGAGAGCTGGTTTCGAATCAGTAAAAATGCTCCATTTTTGTGGTGTCTCTTGGTCAATCCTGCGGAGTGCGCTGCGGAGTGCCGCGAGCTCCACGGCTGTCGATGTCGTCTTGTGTGACGTTCTGAACTGGATGGTTTCGGCTCTTGCTGGGAAGATCACAGCTCCTGCAGATCCTCCAACAGTTGTCGAGCCATCCGTGTAAAGTTTGACATGATCTTTGTATTCTTCGTGTAGCATGAGTAGAATCATCTGCTTTAAAGCTGGCGCCGAGAGCTCCGCCTTCTTGCGAATCCCCGGCACTGTCAAGCGCAGTTTTGGTCGGACCAAACACCAAGGAGGTGTTAGTATCCGTTCCGGAGGTGTGTAGACTGTGGGAAGGCACTCACGGAAAGTCAATACTCTCTTACAGAAGGAGGCACTCGGTCGATCTTCTGGAAGCGAAGCTAGGTGGTGGGCAGGGGCGCGAGCAAGGTGTCTAATATGAGCTCTAAGCACCTCCAAAGTAATGTGCACTGTGGCCGGATGATCTTTGGCGATTGCGATGGTTTCCGCTGTTGATGTACAGCGTGGTAATCCAAGACAAACTCTGAGTGCCTGGCCCTGGGCGTTTTCTATTGTGCGTATACTGCTTTTGCAAGCGTTCGTCAGAACCGGCAAGCTATACCGTAGGTACCCCAGAAACAGCGTTTTGTACAAATGCAACATCGCGTGCACTGATGTGCCCCACGTTTTGCCTCCGAGGAACTTGAAAAGTTGTGCGATGGCCGTTAGGCGCTTCTTTAGAGTGGCCACATGGGGACTCCAGCAGAGATTTCGATCGATCGTGACCCCCAAAAACCTGTGGGTCCTGGCGTAGCAGACACTGTGTCCATCGATGGCGATGGGATATGACGTCATTGCCTTCCGCGTGAACGCGACCAGCGCCGATTTCTCAGGAGAGATCTCGAGGCCTTGTTCTCTAAGGTACGCCGATATTGAATTCGCTGCTTTCTGGAGTCTCGCACGTACCTGAGGACGTGTTACACCTGATGTCCAGGCACAAATATCATCTGCATAGAGAGATATCTGCACGGAATCTGGTATGCGTTCAACGAGACCGATGAGAACCAGGTTGAACAATGTGGGGCTCAATACACCACCTTGAGGAACACCACGGTGTGTATAATGTTCAGAAGTCGGCCCATCATCAGTTTGCATAAACAATGATCTCATATGTAGGTAGCATTGGATCCAGCGGTACACTCGCCCACCCAAACCAACTGACTCGAGGGCGTCAAGTATGGCTTCGTGAGAAACATTGTCATATGCTCCTTTGACATCTAAAAATAGTGCGACAGATAACCGTCTGCTCATTTTCTGGTGTTGTACGTAGGTCACCAGGTCAATGACATTGTCAATGGAGCTCCGAAGACGACGAAAACCGGCCATGGCGTCTGGATATATTCTATGGCGTTCTAGGAACCACTCGAGTCTGGCAAGGATCATTCGCTCCATCAGCTTCCCTACGCAACTAGCCAGCGCTATTGGGCGGTATGATGTCAGCTCTAGAGGCGATTTTCCAGGTTTGAGAAGTGCAACCAACCGGCTTGTTTTCCACTCTCTGGGGACCGTTCCATCTCTCCAAGACTCATTGAATACTTCCAGCAAAGCACTTCGTGCTCGATCACCGAGATTGCATAATAGGCGGTATGATATGCCATCCGGCCCAGGCGATGACGATCGATTGCATGAAGCAAGAGCCACATTCAGTTCTTCCATTGAAAAAGGCAGGTCCAGGTGCGGGTCAAGTGAATGTGGCGTGTAATCAGCAGTAAGGGCTTCTGTGTAATTTGGCGGGCCCGCAATCTTCCTACAAAAATCTTCCGCTACCTCGATATCCCTTCTATTTTGGAAAAGGGCCAAGGCTTTAAACAGAAAACGTTGTTGGGGAAATGTGCGTAGGCCTCGCACGGTTCGCCATATTTGAGAAAGCGGTTTGCGAGGGTCTAGACTCGCGCAAAATTTCGCCCACCGTTGAAACTCTAGTTTGTCTATACGACGCTGGATCTTCTTTTGCATGCGCCTGGCCATCCGTAGATCTTGAATGGATTTTGTGCGTCGATATCTACGCTCCGCACGCCGACGAGTCGCACGGAGTCGCTCTAACTCCATGTCCGTTTCTGAGGGCCTTGAAGAATATGCCAGCGTGCGCATCGCACTCTGCGCAGCTTGTTTGATCGCTTGCTCAATGCCAGAGGTTAAGCCTTTTTCACAAGCGTGTTCAATGTTGGTTGTGAATGCTGAAAGATCGATCCTCCGTACGGTTTTCGGCGGGTGGTCGCTAGCAAAGCCTTCGATGGTGAGATAACTGGGGATGTGATCGCTACCATGTGTCTCGATGTCTAAAAACCACTTAACGTTTGTGGCGAAGCGACGTGACACGAACGTCAAGTCCAAACAGCTGCTGTACGTTGATCCTCTCAGAAATGTAGGGCTCCCATCATTAAGTAGAGACAGTTCATGAGTCGATACAAATGAAGCCAGCCTCCGGCCCGTGGTATTGACTTTTGAACTTCCCCAGATTGGGTGGTGGGCGTTGAAGTCCCCTATAATTATCCACGGTTCCGGGACGCTCGAAAGAATGTCATCCAGTCTTTGGCAATCAAAACGGGCTGAGGGAGATAAGTAGACACCTGTTAATGTGAAGGTGAGGGTTTTCTGTTTCACAGTCAGGCAAACATATTGGTTCTCATCATGAGGCGACACAGGTTGAGTGATGTAGGTAAGCTCCCGACGAATATACACGATGACCTTGCTGCTTTCGTTTCGGGTTTTGGACGGGATTGATTCGTAGCCAGATAGCCTGATCGGGTTTGATAATTTCGGTTCACATATTACGATGATTGGGAAACGGTTAGAAAACACGTACTGACGAAAATCGGAAATCCGTGATGTAAGTCCTCTTGCGTTCCACTGGATGACTGATGCTTCTCTGACGTCTTTGCGGAACGATTGTTGATCTCCTGCCATGACTCTACGCGAGGGAGGCGAGGACTGGGCTCAGCGCGTCCAACACCTGTAACCCGCTTCGAGCGGTTGGAGTTCCCAGGCTTCTTAGTATGTCTGCCATGACAGCGACGAGGGATCGTAACATCGGGATGATCTGTCGATCGACCCTTGACACATCCTCAACGGAAGTAGACTCGGTGGAAGGTGTAGGGTGGCGAGGCCTCGCAGGAGGCTCCTTTGCAGGCTGTGTACGTGAAAGCGTAGGCCACTCATCCGCAGCTGTGAGCTTCTCCACTTCATTTCGCTTCGTGCTTACTACTTCACTCGTGCTCGGAGGAAATGGGTTATGCGCAACACTCTGTCCTACACGCCTCCGTCGGCGACTACGTCGCCGCCGTACCCTTTCAGCAGCCTCTCTGTGGGTTGAATTGTCCCTAACCATTTGTTTGATAATGGCGATTTCCTTCTTAATCCGAGGGCATTCCTTGGATGCAGCATCATGCGGACCATCACAGTTTCTGCACTTCAGACTTGTTGCCCGACATGCGTCTGCAGTGTGCGGCTCAGCGCATCGGGGGCATACTGTGGTGTTTGTACATACACTCTTGATGTGACCAATTTTCATGCAGTTATGGCACTGAAGTGGTTTAGGGACAAATGGTCGAACAGGATGTCGGAAGTGTCCCACTTTGACATGCGACGGAATGGAATCTCCTTTGAACATTATCTTTACACATCGGGTGTTTCCGAGGCGAAGTACATTCGCGATGAGAACTCCTTCGTTCGCTGGTTTTATGAGAGTTGGGAGATCCGAGTTTGCTATGGCCAAATCAATGTCGTAGATTACTCCCGCCGTGTAGGCACCGTCCATTGGAATAACCGGTCGTACTTTGATGCCTCCCAAATCTGATACTCTGCGAAGCTTGTCTATGGCGCTGGCAGTCATTGTGTCCACAGCTAGAATATTCTTCCGCGTGTTCACCCGGATATCCTTAATGTCGTTTGGTGCTACCCCCTCAAAGTACATAGAGAGAGCTTGCCTGTTTACTGCTCGAAGGCTGATGGTGGAGTCCTCGGGCATGAAGAGGATTGTGTGCGGCCAGCATTCACCTTTTGACTGAGACGTTAATGTCCCTGCTGGTGAAGACGACTTGATACTTCTTCTTTTGGCCTTCCTGCTTCTCACGGTCTCGAAGTCGTCATCCGACGAGTCGTCGCCAGTGGCCGAGTACAGTTCCGTGTCCTCGCTGGTGCTCGAACAGGTGCTTCGTTTCCGCGACGAGCTTGCCAAAGGTGGTCTATGGTCGGACATAGCCGCAGAAGGCTCCACGTCCACAGCCATGATGCAGTGACTATCACCGTTGGCCTCACTGGTTCTGGGCCAGGCGCGCTGATTTACCGAGGAGCTCGCCATAGCAGACCTCTGGCTGGGCAGACCAGTGGATGACTCCGCGTCCGTCGCCTTGGGGCAGGGAGCAGCGTCTCCCGTAGAAAGCGAAAAACTTGATAACAATGTTCGGAGCCGAAAGCAGAAGCCAGAAACAACCATAGGGTCTTTCGTGCTGGCGCGCGCAGAAGTAAAACAAAGATAACCAATATAATACAGACAGTTCACAGAAAAGCAATCAATAAATAGAGCAAAAACGAGCTGTCAAAAAAAAATCAACTTGCAATGGGAACAACAAATAAAAGAGTAGATATTCTTGGAATAGGACTGAAAAATAATGTAGAGTATACAGAACCGTGCAGAAGGCTTCCTGAAAGACGGAAAAAGGAAGAACTGTGCATGTGCAAATCTACGTTAGGACAGAGCAGCCTTCACTGAAAAAAAAAATCATTGTAGACTATAAAAAACACAACGAATCAAGAAAGTTGACGTTAGACAGACTCGGTATTCTGTAAAGGATAGAGTGTTGAAAGAAGCTGGCAGGTACATGCAACGGTCGATTCTCTTTGGATAACTTACGCGGAGTATGAAAGTTATTAATACCGAGAAGGACAGAATATATCACCCTGAACAAGCTTGTAAAGAAATAACAGCTCTGCGCGATATTGTCGGCCGTTAAGTGATGGCAAATATAATATTCTAGTAGTGTTGAAAGGATTATAGTGAAACAATGGGGGTAAATGCTTATGAAATGTTTCTGGACTCACTCAGTGGCGCTACTGCTGGATTTAGCAAGGTCATTCAAAAACAGATATTCATATGTATTCAAGTTGAGCACGACATATCGCGGTGTACAATTTGTAGAAAGCTGTAGGAGAACCGGATTTTCGAGAGATGTTGTGCCAACACGAAAAGAATGAAGGCCTCGCATGGCAGCACATTTAATGCAAGCGGAAAAAATTCAGCATGCTATCAAAAAGAACACCTAGATCACTTATCTCATAAAACTTACTTAACGACACTGTAGTGACAGCATATAGAATTGAACCGTTGGACGTTTTACGAGATACAACAACATTAATAATAATAATAATAATAATAATAATAATAATAATAATAATAATAATAATAATAATAATAATAATAATAATAATAATAATAATAATAATAATAATAATAATAATAATAATAATAATAATAATATCAATAATAATACACTCATATCATTCCGGCATGACCGAAAATATCTGGCCACATTTATTGAAATCTAATGTCCGGGTACCTATGAATCTCTATATGCGAGTGTGTGATTGCGCAGTTTGGTGGGTGTGTCCCGGCTTTCATATCTTATAGGTAAATGCGTCACAGGGTTGGTGTTGAAAGGAAATGTTCGCAAGCAGTTTTAATCATTACGCGCCTGCAGAGCAAGTGCTGTTTACATAATGTAGAGTTTGGCTTAGGCATCACACCAGCCCGCGAAAATGTGTCATACAAATTGTATTTGGCAGTAAATGTTTAAGCTAATCCTAATGACGGCACGTGCGCATTAGTGACCTCGACCAAGTAATGTCACACCCACACAAAATAGAAGTTTTGTGAATTCAGAAGCCTACGGTAAATGTTGGTATAAAGCTTCAGCATTTCAATACATGGTCCATTAAATGTGTATCACGTGTGAGTCAGTTGCACCTTTCTTAATGTACATGTGTATGACGTGAGATTTATTTGACGCTTGCAAACATTACACAAATTAATTATTTACTAGTGCAATAATAAATTTTTGATAAAATTACTATGTGCCCAGCCAAGATTATTATACGTAGCCAAAGGAAAGGCAAGATGTTTTTTTTTGCAATAAATAATTACAACTTCCATCTTGACTGTAATCATAATAGTGCCTGCAAGTCGCATTCACGGAAGTTATTTTCTTGTTTTTGAAAATACTCTCTTAAACATTGCAGTGCGCATGCAGTTATGGTAAATGGCCGCGGAAAGCAATCGCAGAGGAGGGGTCAACAGGAAATCTTGTTATATGAAGGTAGCATATAGCCATCAAAACCTTCTAATAATCAGAAATTTTGTCCACCGATGTGGAAGCTAAAAATGCATCGAAATTACTGTTTCATGCTGCCATTCCTAACAATTCATTATTGTGAACAATACAGTTTGCATGCATTTTGTTTTTACACTGTACTATATAGGATTGCTCTATGATAATAGAAAGGTTCGATTGGGAGCTTCAATAGGTTTTGTGACCTGACACAATTTCTTCCTCGTAAAACATGTCTGCTCTCGTATACATTTACGTCGTATTAATTGCAACATATTGTTTCAAACCTAAATGCGATGAAAAATGTACGAGTTAATTTAAACCAATGCATGCATAGTTGCAACTATCAAGTACACAAAGCTGACCTGAAACTTTGGTTTTTTTGCATGGCAGAAACAGCATATATAATTGATACTCTTATTGTTGTAGAAAATTAGCAGGTCAGCTTTGTGTACAAATTGTTATATATTACATTCCGCATAAAAGTGTGATCATGGTGGTAAGTATATACGTGGTTCATCCCGTATAAGGGAGCACTTCCACATATAAGGATCCACTTCATATGTTATATATGGCGTGGCCGTGCCTTATTAAGGCCGGATTTGACTCCTTATATAGGCCAACCGCGTCATATATGGCTGTATATAACCCCATACAAGAAACCGACGAACCCACCCCGCCAGATATAAATACATATATGGTAAATGAAAACCACATATGCTGACGTATATGCCTATATGTGGCCACATATAACATATATAAGGGCCATGTATGGCATTTCCGTAAGGGTAGTTAAGCCTTCTCAGAAAAGCTGTCGTCATCACGGAAATATTCAACCACATGTGCTCAAAAGATTGTTATTATGAATGGGCCGTGAATAATAATCGCAATGGTTTTATTATTGTAGGCTTCACTAACAATTTATGAGAATATAGACATACTTGGGGAGAGATTTATTGAGGTTCATCTAGCCGTGCGTGATTTTACCGCTTGCACATGACGTCTCCTAGCTAAGTGAAAATGCGCGCACAATTCCTACAGACATCATAACGTTTCTTTTTCAAGCACTTGTCAGTTGAAGTATGAATAATCGGGATGCTTGCGTGTTTTCTTCTGATTGACTTCTAGAATATATATATATATATATATATATATATATATATATATATATATATATATATATATATATATATATATATATATATATATATATATATATATATATATATATATATATATAGTTCAAAAAAAAGTTCAAAAAAAACTTCCGGGTCCTATGTTAGCACTTCATTGTATATATATATATATATATATATATATTACATGCTTTATAACCAAAACATAAATTGATATTGATCACCTCTAACAATTCTAAGCATAGTGTGCACTCTAAAAAAAGGTCACAGAAGGTGAGAAACGCCTTTTCAGAATTATCACCCGGCGTCTGCAAGAAAAAAAAAGGTTACTTCCCTCCTGCTCAAAAATGCAGAAACTGATTGCGAATAATGTAGCCATGACCGTCAATAATATGCCTACAAAATAATAGAGCCATGTGTAAAAGTTCCTCCGCTTGCCTTTTCTTGGAAGTTACCGTTTATGACCACCGGTTATGCTGCCTACGCACTTCGTGCCCCGACCATGTCCATCTTAATGCAAAGCATTTCTTAGCAAGCTTCGGCGACTTTGAGCGTATCTATCTATCTATCTATCTATCTATCTATCTATCTATCTATCTATCTATCTATCTATCTATCTATCTATCTATCTATCTATCTATCTATCTATCTATCTATCTATCTATCTATCTATCTATCTATCTATCTATCTATCTATCTATCTATCTATCTATCTATCTATCTATCTATCTATCTATCTATCTATCTATCTATCTATCTATCTATCTATCTATCTATCTATCTATCTATCTATCTATCTATCTATCTATCTATCTATCTATCTATCTATCTATCTATCTATCTATCTATCTATCTATCTATCTATCTATCTATCTATCTATCTATCTATCTATCTATCTATCTATCTATCTATCTATCTATCTATCTATCTATCTATCTATCTATCTATCTATCTATCTATCTATCTATCTATCTATCTATCTATCTATCTATCTATCCTACGACTTTTAGCTTTCCTGGCCGTTTCACCAATGGTATTGATACAAAGCTTGGTATGGCACAACATTAGTGTATGAAGAACATATTTAACTAGTCATAACATGAAAATCATGATATGTATGTCATTTACACTTATTTATTTATTTCTTTATAATACCTCAAGGGCCCCATTCAAGGGGTGTGACATGAGGGGTAGACAGTTCACAAACAGATGATTTGTTCGATGGCTTCTTTGAAATGGGCGACGCCGGAGTGGTGCACGACGTCACCAGAAAGATCGTTCCATTCTATTGATGTTTGCACAAAAAATGAAGAGTTATGGGCAGTGGCATGCTCACGAGGTGAATAAACCACTTTAGAATAGCTAATACGGCATCAAAAACGAAGTGCTGGAACGATAGCATGGTTTAGGGGCAATGCATGATAAAATTTATTATACAAACACAGTCTTCAAACTTTACGGCGCGAAGCTAAGTTAACCATGTTAGCACGAGATTTTAGCTCGGCGACGCTACTGTGATAGGAGTAGTGCGAATGCATGAATCTGGCTGCGCGATTTTGCATGGAATGAAGTGTTTTAATTAGGGTTATTTGATGGTGATCCCAGATAGCACATAGGTATTCTAGCTTCGGGCAGACTAGTGTTAGATAGGTTAAATGTTTAACAGAAGGCGGGGTTAGTCGTAAGTTTCTACGGAGGCAAGCGGGAGACACATGGTGTGATTCGGCATCCGATGCGGCGCGCGATACCACACGCCGCGTACGACGATTCAAGAAACATGGGGCGAACAGCCACCAGCGCTCAGGCTCCGCCCACATACGACCCCTCAGCTCGCACGCTCGGAAGACATCGTATTCTTTTTATTAGGCGCAAAATAAAGAAGCTCACGCAGCCATGCTTTGTTTTCTGATAACATCGCTAACAAAGCTACGCCTTCGCAAGCGACAAACATCGACACAGCCCACATTCATTATCGACTCCGAGCGTAGGCCTAGCAAAGGCCGACGTTCTCGAGAGTGCCTCTCTCTTTCTGACTTGGGCTCATTGTCCAGCACTTCTTTTTACCAACACTATAAAGCCTCGTACACTTATAAGACGCTTTCGCTCGTGCGACTGGTTCAATCAATGGCGTCTATGTAAAAAGCAAAGGTGGGAATGAAGCGGGCCGGTTCACCGAGACCGCCGGTACC